GGTAGTCCATGGTATCTTCAACACTCTTTTTCAGCATCGCAACTCAAAGGCATCGATCCTTCATCTACCATCCTTAGTTATTGTCCAGTTCTAAGATGCTTTGTAGGTAATTGGGAAGACCATGACCTGGATCAGGTGCATATTAGTCTCCAGACTGACATCACTGTTCTTCAGTCCTCTAGAGAGGACCCTGACAGCAGACTTTTCCCATGTAACTTGTCTTTTGATTTCCTGACTGCTGGAGACAAGAGTGTTGATTGTAGAACCAAGCAAGTACAAGTTACCAATAATCTCAGTCTCTTCTCTGTCCATCATAAAACTGCTAATTTTCCCAGAGGTGAGAATCTTTGTTTTCTTGATGTTGAATTTTAATTCATATTGCAGACTACAGTCCTTGACCTTCTGTAACAAATGCCTCAGCTCCTCTTCAGTTTCATCAAGCAAGGTTTTGTCATCTGCATAATGCAGGTTGTTGACGAGTCTTCCTCCAATCCTGATGTATCATTCCTCCTCATAGAGTCCAGTCTCCTGAATAATCTGTTCTGCATATAGATTGGAAAGGTATAGAGATAGAATCCATCCTATACCTTTCCTAATCCTGAACCATGCAGTTTCCCCTACTCTGTTCTTACTACTGCATCCTATTCCAAACACACACACACACACACACACACACACACATGTGCATATACATGTTTATCTACACTACATATATAGTTATGTGTATAGCAAACCACATAGAGGAAATAGTGAAGGGCACTAAATAAACATAATAAATCACTTCATTGGACTGGTTTACTAGATTTGAAGACTTGAGACCCTAGTCTGGTGGAACAACTTTGTCAGTTGTAACAGCATGGTTCACAGAGTGAATGCTCCACATTTTAATTTCCTGAAAGAATCTCGACTTTTAAAAGTTTGAGAATGGCCATTGAAGATACAACTATTAGTCTCTACTTATCCGGTTATCGGGGAGGGAGGGGAGTGAATGAAGGAAACTCGATCTTAAAGAAAAAACTAATCTACAGAATAAATAGCCCACATAAACTAACTGTTCCTTCATCTATTTTGAGACCAGAAGAACTAGATTATTCCTGGCTATTACTATCTACAATTCTGACCTGGGAAACAATAGAAAGGTATAATGGGGTAAAAATGTAGAACAAAAGTCAAATTCTTAGGGGAGCTCTGGTGGCCTAGTGGCAAGGAGCTGCAACTACAATCCCAGAGGTGCACGGTTCGAATCCACCAGATGCTCTGCCGGGGAAGGAGGGACAATCTCCTCCTGTACCAGTCAGATCTGATTTGACGGTATACTCACACAAAAATAATAAGATAAAATAAAAAAATAAGTCGAATTCTTAAAAAAAAAACACCAACTAGACCAATAGTGACCTGTGAGGCCTTTGAGATGTTCCCCTTCACTAGTCTTTGGACTTGAAGCTGATAGTCATACATGTTTGGATTGTTGTTAGATGTCCTTGGGTTTAATATGACTAGCAACTTTATGAACAACAATTCTGAACCCTGTTCTATCTCCACACTACTTGGCACACCCAAGCCCTTTGCTGTAGTCACTGTGTCAATCCAGTTAGTTGAGAGTCTTCCTTCCCTTCATCATCCCTCCACATTCCCAAGCACGATGTCTCTTTCCAAGGAATAGTGTCTCCTAACAACATGCCCTAGGTATGTGAGGTGAAGTTTCATCATCTTTGCCTCCAGGAAGCACTCTCGCTGTACATTTTTTAAGACATATATGGTTGTTCCTTTGGCAGCCCATGAGATATTCATTCTCCAACACCACAATTTAAAGGCAGCAATTATTCTTCTGTCATTTTTATTAATTGTCCAGTTCTCAGGAACATAGCAAGGGATTTAAAAACCACAATCTGAATCAGGCACACTTCAGTCCTCAAACCAACACCATTGCTCCTCAGTAATTTGGAGATGCACCTGACTACAGACTTTCTGAGTGCAATACATTTCCTGATCTCCTGACTGCTACTACTAAGTGTACTGACTGTGGATCCAAGTAAGATGAAGTCATTAACAGCCTCAATCTTTTCTTTATCTTTCATGATATTGCTTATCAGTCCAGTGGTGAGGATTTTCTTTTTTTTACGTTGAGGTGCAATCCATATTGACGACTTCAATGTTTAACCTTCCTCAGAAATATCTTCAAGTCTTCTCTTTCAGCAGGCAATGTTGTACCATCTGTATAATGAAGGTTATTGATGAGTCTTTCTCCAATCCTGATGTCATGTTCTTCTTCTTAGAATAATTTGCTCAGCATGCAAAATAAATATAAATGGGAAAGGATACAACCCTGACAAAATTATTAGGTGGTAGCTAACATTAGTAATAGAATATGTGATTGAGGATGTTTTTCCTTGGCTTCTTGGACGATGTGATAGAGAGGAAAGATTTGAGATGATTAAGATATAACATTAGCAGATAGATCAGGTAATAAAGAGCCATGAGTATTCAGGATGTGGCTAAAGTGGTTACAAGTTCCAGAATAGTTGATTGTATTCATAAGAATCCTGTAAATAGAAAAAGAATTAATCACTAAGCAGACTGATGGGATACTATATCGTTTAAAATTAGAAAGTGTTTTTAAGGGTTTTATTCTTTCACCAAATCACTTTAATATATATACTGAGCAAATAATAAGAAAAGCTGGACTGTAGGATAATAATGTGACATTGAGATTGAAGGAGGACTCCATGCAGATGATGCGACCTTGCTTGTTGAAAGTGATGAGGACTTGAAACACTTACAGAAGATAAAAAACTACAGCCATCTTCAACAGGTGAAGCTGTCTTTGGAACCTGATCACTCCCAGCCCAGTCCAGCCCCACCCACAGCCAGCAGACATTGAACAGCCTCCGTGACTCCTGGCTCTGTTTCAGGTCTTGGGCCTATGGTCCTTGTGCCATAGGGGTTAAATAGTAGCCAGCACCTTGTAGAGCACCACTTCTACACCAAGCAACATTCCAGGAGCTAGCTGCTTGCCCCACCATGATATAAACTGATGACATTACCCTCAGTTTTCACCCTCAACCCACAGAGGCTAAGGAAGTCACATTCTTAGTAAGCAGGTAGCATCTTGTAGAACCTCCAACACCAACACTCAGAGTCCAGCTAAGACATCACTCTCCCCAAGGACATCGTCCTGTTTTTCCAGATGTGTGCCTTAACTGGAAGGGCCCAGCAACCAGAAACCACAGAAATATAGTCTTGGAGAAGATGAACAGAGACAAAGTCCTTACTGAAAACTATCAAAAAGAGTACTGAAGTGAGTAAGGAAACCTGGGTGCACTACTCTGCAGACCAAGGAGGGCAACAGACGTCAGGATAGAGGTCAGCAATCAGAAAACAAAAGCCTTCCATCTCAGATAACTTAACGGCAGAACCAGAGAGGAACTGCCTTTCTTGATCCCCAGATCCAGGAAAATTTGCCACAAGACTAAAGAGGAAAGATCTTAGGAAATATGAGTTGGCTTCCCCTCCCTATAAGAGTGTTGCATTCCCAACTGAAGCAAGTCCTCCTGTGATTCCAGGGACCTGAGAGAAATTATTGCAGTGTGAACTGTCTATCCCTCTTGTGGAGCAGTGAAATCCCCAGCCAAGGTAGACAGACCAAAGACCCATCAGGGCACCAGGCAAGGAAAAATCTCGATCACAGTAATGACATGGAAGAAACAGATTGACAAAAGCAAAACAAGATTTCAGCCCCTCAAAGTAACCAAAATGCAGAATCAATGGGTTTGTTTTTTTCCCCTAATGGATTTATTAAAGCAAACTCTGATGGAACTCTCTGGAACAGAACTCAAAAGAACAGTAATTGGATATTTTCAATGGGTGAAAGAAAATAGAAAAAAAAATTACAGGATTCTACAAGCAAAATGCCAAGAGGAGCTAAATAAAAACAAAATCCACAAAAACCTCCAACCAATTAAAAACAATATAGATAAAAGAGGTTTTAGAAACCCTAGATAAACAAGAAACTGTAACCCAGTATATTAAGACCATAGAATCAGAAGTTGTGAATGTGTTGGGGGGACAGATGAGCAGAATGGAAGAGATAGAGCACAGAATCAGCAAAAAGACAAAAGTTCTCAGCACTGATCTGATAGAGCAAAAAGCAGGAAAAAAATGAAGGAAAATAAAGAAAGTCTAAGAATGATGTGGGACACAATCAAGAGGAAAAACATGTGCAAAAAATTAGAATCCCAGGACACAAAGGAGGGGAAAAGAAAAGGAAAAGGTACTGAGAAAGTTGTGGAAGTGTTATTAGAGGAACTTTGCAGGAATAATGAGGAATGAGAGAATATACATACAAGAAGCTGAACAAATGCCATATAGAATAGACCCCAGAAGAAAAACCTCAAGGCATATATATCAGAGTCAAACTCACCAGAATCAAAGAGATAATTCTGAAAGCAACTAGGGAAAAACTAAGAGTAATTTATAAAGGAGAGAAAATAGAATTAAATACTGATTTCTTAGCAGATACAATGCAAGAAAGAAGACAGTGGAAAGAACATATATCAAACACTCACAGAACACAGCTTTCAATCAAAAATGTTGTACCCAGCAAAAAATGTCCATCAAATATGATGGAGGGATCAAGAAATTCTCAGAAAAGTAGAAACTAAGGAAGTTTGTAAAAACAAGACCAGTATTGCAGGGAATACTGAAGGAAGCTTACAGAGACAGAAAAAAAAAAAGAAAAAAACAAGGCAGATGGACCAAAGGAACTAGGAACAATATAAAAAAATTTAACAAAATGATACCAAGAAAAACTTTTCTCTTAATAATTACACTGAATGTGAATGATTTAAAAGAACCAATGTAGAAAAAAAAAGTAGTAGATTGGATTAAAAAAAAAACCAAACAAACCCATCATCAATATGTTCTACAAGAGACACACTTAAAAAGTGAAGACAAAGCTCTCTTCCACTGGAGGCCTACACGCCGCCGTTGCTGCCGCCGCCATGTCTCTAGTGATCCCAGAGAAGTTCCAGCACATTTTGCGAGTACTCAACACTAACATCGATGGGCGGTGGAAAATAGCCTTTGCCATCACTGCCATTAAGGGTGTAGGGCGAAGATATGCTCATGTGGTGTTGAGGAAAGCAGACATTGACCTCACCAAGAGGGTAGGAGAGCTTACTGAAGAGGAGGTGGAGCGTGTGATCACCATTATGCAGAATCCACGCCAGTACAAGATTCCAGACTGGTTCTTGAACAGACAAAAAGATGTGAAGGATGGGAAATACAGTCAGGTTTTGGCCAATGGTCTGGACAACA